AACACTATTAGTTACTTGTTAAATCTTGATGGCTAACAAGTAACTTAATCTCTTCACCCTTTCTCACACAAAACATGTCAAAAGCAGAGTTGAGGCTGATTTGCCCCTGGGACCTCTTGCCCTATAAGGAAGCCCATTATTCATTATTTCAATTTTCTCATCTTTAGGTCTCTCCTTTGTCCTTTTGCTTTCAGAACTTTTGCAGACCAGAATAAAAAAAAAATCTTTAGTATGAAATAAATATATAAAAATACAGACTTCCTGGAGGAAGCGTCATAGAAAGATGTTTAAAGAGAGGACAACCAACAGTGAAGAAAGAAAAGAAAAAAAAAAAGAAGGAAAAAAAAAGTGAAGAATGTAGTGAGGACACCAGGACAGACTGCTTAAATTGGAGGGCAGCTAGGTATGGAGATACACAGCTGGGATCCCAGCACTGGGATTGCCGTGAGTTCGAGGCCAGCCTAAGTGACATAGTAAGACCTTGTCTCAAAATAAATAAATAAGAAAGAAAAATAAAAATTGGAAGCCAATTTATAAGAAACAAAGCAGATGGGAAATGGCTGTTGAGCAAATGAAAAATGTCCTGGCCTGAGTAATTTAAACAAAATAAAGAGAGAGTGGGGCTCAAAGTAGAAAGCCAGATATTCATTGATAGGAAAAACACACCGACAACTTAGTCTCATTGTACATAAACCTTTGAGCATGGCTACTCAGAATTAGGCTGAGAGTCCTACTTTAGGATGACAAAGAGTCATGCTTCTTGTCCCAGGCAAGGACACCCTGAAATGAGATGGGGAGGTGAACTGGCAGAGCTGGTTCTCAGATCTCTTAGAAGCCTCAATGTTGATCAGGGAATTTCCTGAGGGAATGTGGAGCTTCTACAGACTGCAGAGTCTGCTCTTTCAAAGCAGCTTAAGAAAAAAAAAAAAAAAAAAAGAGAGAGAGAGAGAGAGAGACAGAGAGAGAGAGAGAGAGAGAGAGAGAGAGAGAGAGAGAGAAAGAAAAAAACCCTGAAGCCACTTTTTCCACCTTGCGATCCAGAAGTCCTCTCTACTGCAGAAAGCACCTTGTCCTTGGGCTGTTTCCTTCTTCCAGCTGCTTCGAGCATCTGCACTCCCAGAAGCCCTTTACTTCCTTTAGGCAAGGACATTCCAGAATACTCTAGTACGAATTGCTTTTCCAGAGTGCTTCTACTGCTGCTCGGCCTCTCCCAGGATCTCTTTGGGAACCATGTGACCACATGACACATAGGGAAACCTGGCATTTACCTGGCTGAGATGTCAAGATACCCGCTGGTGGGAACCTGTTTAACAGCGGCAGACTCCGCCCCTGCTTTTCTGTAGCCCTGTTTAACAGAAAGTTACCCTACCTAGGAAGGGCAGGGCAGGTTATTGGGGTAGAACTCAACCCTTGCAGCTTCTAGCTTTTACTCTTAAAGGTACAGGACATTAATAGGGTGATGACAGGTCTCAGGAGACGCTATCACAGCCAAACAACTTCCAGACAGTGCAGTTAGAGTTACTTCACTTTTATTATCAACAAACATGATCTCAGATCAGTACAACTAGCTTCAGAAGTGATATTAATGAAAATTATTTTTAGAATTTATTCTTAGGTTACAAATGACTATTTCACATAAAGGAAAAATATCCCACCCAGGCAAAGAATAAGTATACTGCATCTGTTTTCACAGCAATGAGTATGCATTCTCAAGTTTTGTCTTTGTTATACACCACTTCACCAACGGAAGTACAGGATCCCTTGAAAGAACCACGCGGACTAATGATGGTATCTAGAACATAGACACATCAAATTCATGGCAGACACTGCTGCTATAAAGGTCTGTAGGACTTGACAGTTCTGCTGAGCATGCCAAAATGGTTGATAAAAACTTAGTCATTCCTTAGAGCTGCTCTTTGAGGTAGGTCAGTATGATTACCCCATTGTAACAGAAGGAAAGTGAGGCACATTATAGTGATTTGCCTAGTGCAATGGTTTCAGTGTCCCCCAAGTTCATCCCCAGCACAACAGTTTGAAAGGTGGGACATTTAAGAGGTGACTAGCTCAGAAGGGTTTTGAAGAAATTAATGACCTTTTCTCAGAAGTATATTTGTTATACAACAGAAGGTCAGATAGGAGTAGCTTGGTGATGAGAGAGGCCTGCTTTAGCCAACAGTGTAACATGGTGACATTGCTCGGTTTGCCTTTCATAGTAACCCGTGTGAGTCACACTTACAGAGAATGCACTCAGGATATTTGCAGGATAAGGAGAAAACTTTCCATTTTAAGCACCGTTATTTCATAATAAATCACACATTGAAATCATTCCCAACCTTTGTCAATTTTGTGCTCTTACTAAAAAGAGCCCCACATTTTCCAAAATGAGAAACCCAGAAAAGAATCCTGGTATTCGCTGTACTGATAATCCTCCACCCAATATCCTGCTGACACTGGCTACTACAGCAGGCTTAGAGGTGGGCAAGGACTCCCCAGAGGGAGTGAGGCCAGGTTCACAAGCTGTAACATGGATTAGAAAAGGGATAAGGCACTGAGTAGGTTGTCAGTACATCCATAAGGTGAGGTCTGTCAGAAATCCATCTTGAGAACAGTTTCTCAATAATGTGCTACTTGGACTGAGCTTTGGAACCTCAGTGTTCCTCACTGAACTGGCCCACCATACATACACCCAAGTGTACACCAGGGCTGTCACTCTGTGATCTGCACCTTCAGCCTTGCTGCGGACATGGCATGGATCAGATCCACGCATAGAAGGGGAAGCTGGTTTTGTTGTGCATGTGTTACAAAGGAGGCATCTGATGATCTGTAGAATTAAAACCACCTAACAGGTGATGCGGCAAGGGGTAAGCACGCAGGTCAGCAGACCTAGTCTACAGTGATCTTCCATGAGGTATCTTCTACTTTAATGAGCAGGTCGAGGACAAGGCCACCCCAGTGCAGGTTAGTGGTTGCAGCCTCTATTTACTGGACACAGGAAGGTCCTCCCCCAAACCCCCGCCCACCACAGAGGACCAACAGTAGACAAAATATTTGGTACTGAGCACTGCTAATCCTGTAAAGCAGGGCTAGACTTCTGCCTTGACACCTGCAGTACAGGAACAGGAAAGGTCCTAAGTCTTCAAAACACAGATGGAGGACAGTGACAAGCACCATGGCCAGCTCACTGGCCTTGCTCCATCACAGAGCCTTGCTGAGTCACTAAAGTTTCTACAAGTTGTGAGAAACCTTCTGGAGCCACAGAGGAGGCTGGCATAGTGAAGCTGCAGGAAAATCAAGAGACCCACAGGAAGGTGGCAGTCACCGTCACCAAGTCACATAAACTCAGTGCCTGTGAGCAGGGTGTCTGCAGGAAAGGGAGCTGCCTGAGGAGGAAACAAAGGCCAGGGACTAGAGATGATCGTAAGAGAAAGGAGACCGATGGGATAGAACCGAGAACCAAGAATGAGGCTGGTTAATGACTCCTTTCTCCTGGCAGTCATATGTATGGTCACTGGGCCAGGAATGAGTGAAAGTAATGTCTTAAGAGACATGACTAATTTATATCCAATCTGTAGCAAATAAGACTAATAAGTGGAGGTATTATTGACCTTGTCCCATTAGGTTACCTAATAACTTAATAAGTTCTGAATCCCCTGGATATGTTCTCAGAGGCCTTTGGAAAGTTATCCAAGGAGCTGCTATAAGGGCTGTCCCTTAGTCTATGTCCTGCCCACAGATAGGAAGAGACAAATAGCTAGTTCCTTTTCTGGAAGTTTCCTTACAGAAGGAAATGTTACTTTCCTGTTCCCAGGAAAAACTGTATGCCTAAATATTTTTTGTTTGACCCAATCTCACCTGTTAAAATCCTCACATTTCTGGATGTGTAAAAATTCCATGCAAATCCTATTACTGGGAGGGACAACAAATATCTTGAGGCTGGAGAGCAGATCAAAGTTGGATGAGCAGCTCATGGGATCCTCACAACTCTAAGCTGTCCTATTCACCCATTCTGGTGACACCTAACTTCACTTCTAGGAAGAACTTTTTGTTATTAATAAAAAGTACTTTCCAACAGAGAGCACTTTTCCTACCAAATAAACGCTTCTTCATCCTTAGTCATTGACTTGCTTGTAATGATATGAGTCAGAAGTTTATTGTACTGAGGGAGCAAGGAACAAAGAAATGAGCCTGAGGAAACTGGCTCCTTGTAATGTCGGCAAGCTGGAGACAAGGTAGTAAGAGGTTCCTACAGGCAGCACCCTATCTATTCTTTATTCCTTTACCTGGGAAGTTACCAACTAATAACACATAAACTAGTTAGTAAATGCTGAAAGGCAGTATAGATAAGTTTGTTTTCACCAAATTATTTATGCACATTCCTTAGTCTATTTGTAGCCCTCAATAAATGTGAGAAGTTTCCCTGGCTCAGGGCTCACTTAGAATCTCAGTGAGACCTTGTGGTCCAGGGCATCCAGTCTTGCTGTCGTTCTTTTCACGTCCCCCACCTCCTGACAAAGTCAGGAAAGGTGGTCCCCCTTGTGGAGGGCTCCATATTGCTGCTGGGCAGGCAGCTGGGCTCGACACCCTCTTACCATCTCTATCCCACCCATACTCACAAACCATATGCATGGCCAGCTTCTTCCTGATCATCTACCTGCTTTACAAGTCATGTGCCAGATACATTTTTCCATTCCATCAAACAAAGTGTGGCTTGAAGACATTAGCAGGGGACACCCCAGGAAGTTTCATCTCTAGCTAAGCCACCTACCTTGAAGCTCAGGGTAGCTCAGACAGTTATGTGGAGAAAGAACATCACCTTTAGAGCTTCAGAAAGGCTGTCTATACTTTACAAGGTGGGCGCAGACCAGTGACTGAGCAGCAGTTTGCCTGGGAGGCTATAGGGAAGAAGAGAAAGGGAGGTGACAGAAGCAGGAAAGTACAATGCAAAAGAAGAGAGAGGAGTGTCTGTCCAACATGATAAGAGCATAGTGGTTGGCTTTCAATACTTCTTAAAAGAGTGTTCCAATTTATTATTTATTTTTAAAAATCAACACATAAAATTGCATGTATTTTTCATGTACAACGTATTTGTACATATATTGTGGTATGGTTAAATCTGGCTAATTAAAATATGTATTACCTTAAAAAGTTATCAAAACTTTCCCAGTTTAAAGAATACTGTATCGGAACAGGTTAATATCATCTTTAGCATCCTGGTAGCATTTTTCAGTAGTTAATTAACACATTAAGCCTCTGACAGTCTGGCTTTTGGAAAAGAAACCCAGATGACCCAATTCAACCACTCTTGTAGCTTCCATCTCCAGTTCTTTTAATCCTGGCCAAGACGGCAGCCTTGGATACTTTCTTCCGGTCATAAGCCAGACCAAGGGCAGCCATGCAATCGATGAAGAATGTGGTAAAGTTGATGTGCCAGCGATACTCACTGGCAGAGTAGTCATAGGGGAAGGCATGGTGGTAGTTGTGGAAGCCCTCGCCTGGAACAAAGCAAGGAGAGAAGTTACGGAGCTCAGTGGATTGCTGTCTTCCTCATCTTGGCAGACCTATTATCTGGCTTGAGGGTACCTCAAACCTCAGAGGAATCAGCTGTTAGTGAATGAATGGATGAACCTAGTGCCTTCAGTTCTGAAGCAAATGTCCTCAGAGGCATGTTAAGCAAAGAGCCCAGAGGCTCTAGTTACCCATGACAGTAGTGGGGGTGGGGTGGGGTAGGGGAGCAGGGGCGGGCAAGGGGATGCTGGGAGGGTGTAGATGTTTCTCTCAGAGGATACTGCTGGGAAAGGCCTGTACAGTGGGAAACAACAGTTTCAATTGTAAGAAAAAAGTACTGGCCCAAGACCCCACATGTACTGGGGTGCACACTGCAGTCTAAAGGAGGAACCCTTTCTCCACCACGTTAGTGCTCCCTACAAAGGTGGAAGGTTCTGAGAGAATGGGCCTCAGCTGGCAAGCCAGAAGGAAGGAGGTACACACAGGAGCTGGGGTTTCTCAGTCACTGCAGGCACACAGTAAGTTTCTCTCGCTTCTAAGGCTCTGAACTTTGACCCTGAAGTGGGGGAGATGTTGACAGAACAGAACCTTTGTGAAAATACTTAAAGAGATTCCCTGAGACTCTGAGAACTCTGGTATGAATACTTCACAGTGCTGCAGAGGAAGGTTTTCTATAACTGGGAAAGTATTTGCCAACTCCTGGCACATCTTCTTTCTGATCTGATTCCAATACTAACAATACTGACTCTTATCACAGCAAGATAAAAAACAGGTAATAAAAAACGTTGTTGGATGCCTTGTAGATAACAATATCCAAGACAGGGAAGTAATGCTGTGAGTAAAAAGCAAGGGAAGGAAGTTGCATTGCCCTGTGGCCAGTTGTCCACTGTTTGAACTGCACAGGACCATGCCATGGCCAAGAAGCCAATGGAGCAGGGCTAGCTTCCACACAGCCTTCTCCAGCCAGGCTCTGGGGAGAGGAGGGTTACAGGTGGCAACTAGAGTGGCAAGAGACAGCCCATGGAGGACTGAGGGGACAGTAAGCTGCCAGAGAAGATGAGCATGAGACTGTAAGGGGGTGATTCTAGAAGCAAAGAGAACTGGAGAACAGAAAGGACAAGGTAAAAGGAAAGAGCAGGTTTGTGGAAGTCAGTGACATAAGGGACAAAGAACCTGAACTGATGGTCAAAGAGAATATAGGGAGGAAAGATCACATTTCAATAAACAACACAGGAGATACCTCAGTCTAGATTAACCTACTTCTATGCAGACTGGCAGTGTAGGTTATTTATATCAAGCTTGGGTTAAAACACAAACATGCAAGACAGAGACAGCAAGTATGGCCAGGCTGAGAGCATAAAGGAAGATATTACGAGAACAAGCACTCCGTGATGACGTGCATGAATCTGTGAGCAGTGCGGTTGGCTAGGCGTTACTGGATGAACAACAGCTGATGACTGAGGCGAAGAGGCCCTGGAGATACAGTTGCTTTGGGGTGTCAAAGCCTATGTGCATATGGAAGGAAGATGAGGGAAGACAAGTGGCAGAACTGTTCTTTGATACAGCAATTGGGACTCGAATTCTAGAAAGAAGAACCTTTAGCAATAAACAACATCAGATCCTGGAGTAGTACCTCTGAGGAAACCATCAGCATTATCAGAAGGCTCCCAAAGCAATGCTGGGGAAAGGAGAGTTCCTAACAGATATCAGGAAAAGAAGGCAAGAAATAAAGGACAAGCAATAGGTAAGTGCTACCAAGAGTTGAGCTGATGGGCTTCATGCTGACACCAGTGATAAGGCATAGTTCACAATACAGCACGGTGTGCCCAACTATGATGGGAGATGAAAACACTAGAAATGTGACATACTTGAAGATTACTGAACAGAATAATTTACATCATTTTCTTCATTTTATAAGACACTTAAATATGAAACACCGGGGCCTAGGGATGTAGCTTAGTGGTACAGTGTCTGCCTGGCAAGCAAGAGGCCCCGAGTTCAATGCCTGGCACCTAAATAAATATATATAAAGCACTGGACTTACAAGTCACCCAGATGACCACATTTTTTATTTACGCATCTCTGGCCCCACATAAGACTACAGACCTGCTCAGAGATAGCCAGTAGCATGTGGAGATGGTTTAAAACTTTATTATTATTACTGTTTTTTTGAGACAGGGTCTTACTGTATAGTTGAGGCACTGTGTAGTCCAGGCTGACCACAAACTTAAGAGATTTTCCTGCCTCAGCCTCTCAATGCTGGGATTACAGGCATGTTGTCACTACACCTGGGATTTTTACAACTTTTAAAAAATCAAAAGCAGGGGCTGGTGAGATGGCTCAGTGGTCTAAAGCACTTACTTGAAACAAGCTTGGCAAAGCACAGGGACTGCGGTTCGATCCCCCAGCACCACATGCCAGCCAGCCCCGCCCCCTGGTGGGGCTGAGCTGGCCATACACACACACACACACACACAATAAATAAATAAATAAATAAATGTTTAAAAAAAAAATCAAAAGCAGTATTATTTTCACCCTTTCCATTTGATATAAGAGAGGTTGCCTTGAGCCAGGAAGATAGCTCAGTAGAAGAGAGGTTGCCTAGGGCTAGGGAGATGGCTCAGTGGAATAAGCGCTTCCCTGGCAAGCGCAAGGGCCTGAGTGAAGAGGTTGCCTAACCCTCATTTGGTTTTCTCGATATATTAACTCTCTAGTTTTTATAGTGAAAACTTGAGCTATTGGCCAGTCATAAAAGCAGGTCTCTCTCCGTGGCTCCTGCCCAAATACCCTTGTCATCAGACAGCAGATGTAGTCCTGCTATGGACAACGGACTTACCCACAGCTCCCAGTGAAACCAGGATGTTCTCCCGAGACTCAATGTTCTTATCATATGGGCGATATCCAAAGAGGTGCGCGGCACTGTTCACCAGCCAGGTGGCATTGAGCACCACAGCATACCTCAGGAAAGTGGCCACATACAAGCTGTGTAAAAAGGTTTCGTCCCAGCAGTACCAGGGGACTAGTGTCGGCAGGATGAAACACATCAACAGGAGACCGGGCTTGTAGTACCTATGCAGAAAGAACAGGGAATGCGAAGGGACAACACTCACGCTTCTGACGACTCCCTCTGACTAGCACAAGCTGTCTTTTCACCAAGAGCACAAAGGGCAGAAACCAACATGAAGGAATGGAGTGGAAAAGTTTTGGAACACATAATGTTCTTATGTCATTCCTTAGAGGCGGCAGTGTGAATGAGTTCAGCAGCTTTTCCAAGATCACCCACTGAAAACAGTGGAGGAATGTAGGCACGCTTGTCTCCTGACTTGAAACACATTCTCCTCCATCACAAGAGCACAAAGCCATGTTGGTCAAATCATGAAGTCATCCGCCCAGTGGTTCTGTGGAAGCTGAATCAAATCCTGACTTGCCACAGCACTCTCTGTGACAGCCCCAACCTCTCTTAAAAGTCTTTTCCCTGTCGAGGCCACATTTTGGCCAAAGGCCTTACTCATGACCACGCTGTAGCTCACTGTTCTCTTGCACTGACCCTGCTCACACAACTATCTCCATCCTTATGTAAGTTCTGATGCTGTTTTTCAAACCCTCCCTGGAGTTAGTCCTCCTTTGAGACCCTTCCCCACTGAGCCTCTCGTGGTACAGACAACATCCTGTCCTGCATGGTGGCTGTTTAGGCCTGAGCTTACCACTCCACCTGTGGTGGGCTACAGAGGACTGGATGGGGAAGGACTCAGCTATATTCATTTCTGGGTCCATGTCCTGTTCTAGAACAGCAAACATTTGTTGCACTCACTGATTTCATTGAGATAAGGCAGAGAAAGGAGAAGAGCAATAAATTATGGGTGTGGGCCTGTGAAATATTAAAAACTGGAGGTTTATATGACTTTAAACACTCAGACCCAATATATTCCTCAGCTTTTATTGTACAAGCCCTAAGGAAAGTTTGAGTTCCCAACCTGGGTGACCAAAGCCACAGTCCCAGCTCCATCCTGCTGCCTTCACTCACCTTCTCTGGAACATCACCAGTTTCTCGGCCTTTAGGTCAGACATATCCAGCAAACCACCCTTCTCTTTGACGGCTGGATGTTTGCGCACAAGCAGCCAGCCCACATGAGAGAAGAAAAACCCACGCCGGGAATTGTGAGGGTCCGCATGTGTTTCTGAGAACTTGTGGTGGGCACGATGATCTCGGGCCCACTCATATACATCATTCTGGAGGAAAGAGAAACACCACAGAGGCCTGAAGAGAGATGTTCTCCAGGGAGGACAAATGCCCACGCATCTATATGGCTCACTGCTGCAGCCCAGCCTCCCAGCATCCCCGGAGTCTGGTACCAGAGGAGGCGTGAAGGAGATGCAGTTGGCCCTTGCCTGCCCAGAGGTTTGCAGGAAAAGCACCTTGCATCCCCTGCCCACAGGAATAGCACGCTGCACCTCAAGACTGTGTATGGGGAGGATGGAGAAGAACCCAGAACTCAGCCATGTTAGGAAAGAAACCTTAAGGAACATGGCACAGGTTCTCATGGGTTACTGCTCCCCAGGCATACGGAGAGTAAGGTGGGCACCAAAGCCCCAACGGCTGCTCTCTGGGTGCAGTCCTGGGAGCCCTACCCTGAGGCCCTCCTGAGTTCACCTAACCCCATAACAAGGCCACAGGTAACCTGTGAGGCATGCAGCCCTTGTCTAGGATTCTTTCCTTCCATTCAAAAACATACTGATCTGTCTTCTTTCCCTCTGCTCACAAGAACACCATTAGGAATCTCAGATTTAAAGTTGCTCAGGAAGAGATGAATATGTAAAGGTGGTAAGTTCTGGGGAATGTCGTTAATACAAAGGGGACTGATCTGGCTTTCTGTTCAGCTCTTGCTGAAGCTAAGTCCTGAACCAGGAGCTGTCTTTTGTTCATTGCTAGAGCCCAACAGCTATGACATTCCCTTCATTGTCTCTTGAAAACTTTTTGTCTGAATCACCCTCAGGACTGGACCTAGCTAGAAGGGCAACCCAAACAGCACCACAACACTGGTGTTACAACTTCTCAGTGACTCAGTTTTCTCATCTTCTAAATGAAAATACTACTGTGACTTACTTCCTAAGATGTGAGGGTTGAAGAATTAATCTATGCCTAACACTTGGCACAGATCATAACACAAGCTGGCGCAGCAGTGCTTACTGTTATTATCTGTGTAAAAGATTACCTCCTAGTCATTTTGTATGTGTGTTCCTGTGAGACTCTCTATGATGAATTTAGTGTCTACTTTTTGTCCAGAAATGCAAACAGCACTGGCTTTGTGACCTGGCCCTTCACTAAACTATGGGTGTGCTGCACTAACAGATGCACCATGGGATCGAAATGCATCTGTTCCTCAAGAACAGGGCCATTTCCCATCCTGGGACTTGTAAGCTCCCAAAGATTATGGACCACAGGAGATTATGGACCGCCCTAAGACAACCTGTAAGGTGACCACAGGAGACGGGAAAAGCAATGACCACCCTTTGGGACTTCTCTCTGAACACTGAACCCCTTTCCTGTGCCATCTACAGGCCGGGCTTGGCAGCACCAGCTTCTTACCTGGAAGGCCATGGTGTTGGCAATGATCAGGAAGACCCTCAGAGGCAGGCGTGCTTTGTAAGTTCGATGACTCCACAGGCGATGAGCTCCTGCTGTGATTCCCAGGGCACTGACAACATAGTATACGTAGGCTGCCAGGACAGGACACAGGCGTCAGCAGTGTGGAAGTTCCACCTGGGAAAGCACCTCGTGGACATGCTCCTCCTGTCACAGTCTGTGTCTTCTTTATGCGTGGCTAAGGATGTTTTCCCCTGACCCTACTTAGCTTTTGGTATTCAGAAAAAAACAAAACAAAAAAACCCATCACCTCCTAGCTTCTCTGACTAGATGGAGAAAGGCTAGAAATGCCAGTAACAAAGGAGGTAGAACTGAGGAGAAAAACCAGGGCTTTCACCATTGAGCCACTTACCAGTCTGAAAAAGCATTAACCCAGGGCCTTTCAGGGCCTAAACTACTCTGCCAGCCAGAGCTTAGAACCCATGAGCAAGGGCAACTGGGCACTAACCAACTGGAGGAGCCCCATGTGGTGGAAGACACTAGGGACACAAAGGGGAGGCCATTTATCAGCTGGAACCAAAGCCTTTCAGTACCGTGCTGTAGTTCAGCAAGCAGTTTGGCTGCAGCAGGGAAAATCAGTCCTGATAGCCAAGTGTTGAGTGGCTGGTGCCACTCAACAAGGATGTGTGTATTCTCGGATGTACTGTATACCCTGACTGGGGTGGGTGCCAATAATATGCACACTCGAGTGAGGAAACAGATGCTGTGTGTCTCCAGGGTCACAGAGTAAAACTTAAAAAACTAGGTTTTCTATGGCCCCCTTGCTCATGTTGCAGACCGACCCACTCACCCTGCACAGCCTCTACCCAGTTCCCAGGTCTCTCCTTTGCCACGTCCCTCTGCCAGGTCAGGTCTAGACAGCGCCAGGACACTGCCCTGCCTCGCCGTCCTCTAGGCCAGCATGTCAGGAGGCACCCTGTGTTCTCTAACAGGGAAGGCACACAGCGTGTATCCAGCCCTTCCTCCGATGGGCTTCGAGAGGCAGGGGGTGAGGCCCTAATGGAAACTGTTAATAATGTGTTGCTCCTTGGGTGCATCTGGAAACAATAGATCCTCAGTGGCCACAGGAGACACCACACATTGTGACAAACTTGTCCTATGTTCCTTTCCAGCGAGATAAGTTTCCAAACAGCCTCCTCTCTCTCTCTGCACCTGGTTCTGTCCCTCCTACAGGATCCCCAGTGCTCCCATCCACCCAGGGGAAGTTCTGGCACATTTCCTCTGGCTGGGCTCAAGACCCCAAGTCACTGACAGAATCTAGCTGTCTGATGACTGACAAGACATAAGTAATCTTTATTTGTTTATATATTTGGTACAGGGTCTCCCTGCACAGCTCAGACTCGTAGTGATCCTCCTGTCTCAGCCTCCCCAGTGCTGGGATTATAGGTATGCGCCACCACACTCAGCCCAAACAGCCCTAATCTTCAGGGTCTGGATACACCTGTGCCTGGGAAAGCCCCATGGGCCACAGCCCTGGAATCTAATAAGAGGTATTGGGCCTGGCATGGTGGTACATACCTATAATCCAGCACTCGGGAGGCTGTGGCAGGAGGATCTTAGTGAGCTCAAGGAATCCTGGGCTTCTAAGTGAGTTAAAGGCCTTCCTAAACTACATAGTTAGTCCCTGTCTAAAAAAAAAAAAAAAAAAAATTAAATAAATAATGTATTTGGTATAGTGTCTCACTACAAAGCTCCAACTCATAGTGATCCTCCTGTTTTCAGCCTCCCCAGCACTGGGATTACAGGCATGCACCACTAAGTCCAGCCTGGCAAGTGCAAGGGCCTGAGTTCAATCCCCAGTTCCATCGGAAAAAAAAAAAAAAAAAAGGTCCTGGGTGACATAGACAAGGGCCAAGGAAGCACCTCTACTGGTTTCATGCTTGGTTGATTCTTAAAAGTACCTAGATTAACAGGGGAATTGGGAAATCAGGGAAAGAACCCAGGCCCATTCGAACCACACTGCTAGTTCTGTCCTGTAGAAGACTTGGGCCAGGAAGACACATTCTCCCTCTGACTCAGAAAAGTACTGTTACAATAATACTTCACAGCTTTGTTCTATGGAGAAGGCTAGAGGGGCCCTCCCAAGCCCTTGGTATGGCCAGGGACATCTCTTCGTTCCTGTCCTGTGGATTCTGGTTCTAGAGTCTGCAAAACAACATAAAGCTCTCAGATAGCAGAGACAGGAGAAATGCTGAGAGGCCATACAGTTACTTAAACAATCTAACCCTTCTGGTCCTAAAGGTACTGACATCTCCACTTAAAACACTGACAACTGGTGTGTCTCACAAAGTGGTATTTCTGTGTTCCTAGGAATTCTGCCAGACAGAGCTCCAGGGACCAGAACCCGCCTCCTATAACACCTAAAATGCCCAAGAGACAGCAAACCCCGCACCATGTCGTTCTTTTACACAAATACTACACCATAGCAGAGACTACTCCTGGAGACCTCAGGTGTCCCTGCCAGGTGACCTGTTCACTGACCCGAGGGCAGCAAGGGGCCTAGGCCTGAAGATTCCCCTCTCCTCCGCTTCCCACACCTCTCACAGGTGTGGCTCCAGGGCACTGGCACTGTCACCCAGGATTCAGTCTAGAGCTGCGCCAAGGCAGGTCAGGACAAGATGGGGACCATCTGCTTCACTAGCACAGCTGCTCGAGGCTCTCTTCTGTGGCCCGGCTGTCCCTGCAGAGGAGGGTGTGTGTGGGTGGGGAGGGTTGGTACCAGAAGTGCTGGGACCTTGGTGCAACTGTGGCCTCCAGAGAAGGGGCTGGAGCAGGCAGTCGGAGTAGACATGAGACACTCCCACAATCTGACCTTCAGAATATGGCTTGCTGCGCTGCACTGTGGAGACCTGCCTGCAATGGCAGCAATACATCTGTACAACTGGGTCACATAGGAGCCATCGTCCTCTCCCTCCATGACAAACTGGCTTGATCTGCCAAGGGGCCAGGCTCAAATATTCTAGTTTTGAGGCAGGGTCTCATATGTCGTTCAGGTAGGCCTCCATCTCAAGATGATCTTCCTGCCCCAGGCCTTGCATGTTGGGATCCAAGACTTGCACCATCATGCCATCATCAGACATTGTAGTTTTGTGGGTAACCACCTTTGTGTTCCTTCCTTTCAGTGATCTCCCTCTCTACAGTGTCCCTTCATCCTACCCCTGACTGGTTCACCATAGAGCATGTGACGCCCATGCCTTAAGGCCAATGCCTAAGCCTGCATTTGCCCCAGGAAGGGCCTCGATTCTCTGTGGCAGACAGACCAAGGACAGGCAGCCCCACCAATGGCTCTGTCAGCAGAGCTTTTCCAAGGTCAACTACCTCATGCCTCAGTCTTTCTTTCAGTGTCCCTGCAGAGGCTGAGGCTCATTTCCCATTATTCTGTTAAGGGTCCCCCAAACCTGACATTTCTGGATTCCTGCCCCACTGTGCTGTGCTCCCAGGCCACTATAAAGATAAAGACATGGCCAGGAACCCCACCCTATCAACAGCAGCCAGAACGTGGTGTACTGGCTGGGGACATGGGTACCTACTTACCCCACAGGACAGTGTAGAACTTGCAGGTGGGAACCAGAGTGATTCCGTACAGGGCTCCCACATGCAGCAGCGCCATCAGGATGATGTTCCTCCAGACGTACTCCAGCTTGGGGGGGGGGCCCTCTTCGTCTTGGTAGCTGGGGTCGTGTATGTCATCTTTTATTTCAGGGCGGATGTCGGCTCCGATGTACTGGGGAGGCTTGTCCAGCTTCTGTAGACCATTCTGAAGGCCCCCAGAGGGGGGCGCCGTGATGGTGGTGGTGGTGGTGTAGGAGCCAGACATCTGGAAGATGAAAGGGAGAGTTGGGAGAACAGAACAGTATGGGGCCAGCAGAGGCCTCAGCTCCGAGCCCACGCTGGGGGAGGGGTGCTAAGGCCCTGCCCCGCCCAGGGCAGAAGCTACTTGGGAGTGGGGTGCTCCCTGGGATGGAGCAGAAAGAAGAGTGCAGACACTGTGCAGAGGTTAGGAGTGAAACTTTAACGTGAAGAGGCAGAAGAGTGGTGAAACTCTCACACCCTTGGCAACACACAAAGGAAACCCGTGTGCATACATAGAAGTCCTTGGAGCTACTGCATTTTTCTGTACTTTAAACCTTAAAAGCCAGGCGTGAAGGTAAATGTCTATGATCCCAGTGCTCGGGAGGCTGAATCAGGAGGATCGCAGTGAGTTTGAGGCCAGCCTGGGCTAAGAAGTAAATTTAAGGCCAGCCAGAAGTACACAGTGTGATTCTGTCTCAAAAAAAAAAAAAAAAAAAAAAAAAAAAAAAAAAAAAAAAAAAAAAAAAAAATCAAATCCAAAACCAAAAGCCCTAAGAAGCAAGGGTTGGAATCAGCCCTCCCAGTTGCAATCTATACCCCATCGCTACAGGCAGTACATCTCGGAAGACGTCTAAGTACTCGCCAGTGTCCCCGACTCGCCCCCACGCGCGTCCTCAGAAGCGCAGCCCGGCTTGCCTCGCTGCAGCGGGTCGGTCCCGGGGAGCTCACCTCCTGCAGCATGTGGGCTGGCATCTTGGCTTTCTGTTGCTAGGCTCACTTTGCCTGGGCTGAGGCTGCGGAAAGTGGTACCTGGGAGCCGAGGGTGGACTTCGGTTCCGGAAGCTGCTTCTGCAAGGCGATCTGGTGGAGCCACGCGCCAAGCCTACTGCGCCTCACACGCGGCCGGGCTCCGGGCCTGCCCGCTGTGCGCGGGTCCTGGGGCCGGGGATTTAAAGAGCTGCGCTGGCAGCAGTCCGCCGGCCCGTATTTCCCCAGACCTCTTTTATCTGCTGCCAAGACGGGCAAAGTGTGCGGAGCCGGCCGGCCCACGTAGCCCGCGCGCAGGCGGGGGCTGGAGAGGGAGGGACAGCCAGGCGCACGGCGACCGAGCGCGGAGCAGGGATGCTGCAGTCCCTAAACCCGCGCCGCGGCCCCTGCCTGCGGGGACATGCTAATGACTCCTGAAAGCTACGCTTTGCTATTGGCCGAGGGGAATTTGGTGCCACCTCGTTCTGCCGCTGCCATTGGTTCGGAGCAATCTGCTGTTCCCTCCGCCGCCGCTCCTCGCTCCCCTCCCTTCTTTTCTTGTCTACTTCCAGACCCCGGCGCCGGCGGCGGCCCGGCCCTTGGCTGCGGGCGCGCAGACGTCTTCGCGCGGAAGCGTTCGGCTGGGCAGGGCGCCGAGCGCAAACCTATACCCCCACCTAAGCCCAGTGCGCGGGAATGTGCAGGGACGAGACCACACGGGCACCGCGTCACGGCCAACTGGGTCCTCGCTTCCCACTGCCAGACACGTGGGAGGGAGGCCGCCCTTCCTCCCGGATCAGCGGCCGGGCCGGGACCCGGCGAGGTGACCAGGGGCGCGACCCCGCCCACCATCCGGGAGCTGCGGGCACGGACGATGTGAGCGCCTGCACGCGCGCACCCCATGGTTCGGTTACCGAGGGCACTCCGGGCGACGCTTCTGCGGAAATAAGACCTTGGGCAGTCGGCGCTGCCTAAGACTTGCAAGAATGGTCAGGGATGTTGTGCTGGAGAGGATGCAGTAAGCGACTTTGGTTTGGTTTATTTTGCTCCCCTGGAGATTGAACCCAGGATCTTGGCAGGGAGCTACATCCCCAGCCCCTTATTATTCCGAGACAGGGTTTTGCTAAATCACTAAATTGCTGAAACTAAGCTCAAACTTGTTATCCCACTCCCGCTGGGATTTTTTTTTTTTTTTTTTTTTTTTTTTTTGAGAAGGGACTGTGGAGTCTAGGCTGGCCTTGAGCTCACAGTTATCAGTGCTGAGTGAAAGACGTGCACCACCACATCCACTAAGCTGAGATAAACCTTTCCTGCTGGTGGCAGGATAAACTGCCTCATAAACATATTCATCACAACTTTATATATAATACTTTATTTTTTTAGGACAGGGTGTACAGGGTCTCACTGCATAAATCGGACTCATAGTGATCCTTCTGTTTACAGCCTCCCAAGTGCTAGGATTACAGGTGTGCCACCACGCCCTGTCTCAATCTCCAACTCAGCACAACCCAGGGGCGAGGCCTGCTAGGCAGGCCAGGGGATCAAACTCCTGACCCCTTCGTCTGCCTAAGCAGGCGCTTTATTATTTATTTATTATATTTATTGGGAAGGGTCTACAAGGTGTTCAGGGACTCACTAGTAGATCGGACTCATAATGATCCCCCTGTTTACAGTTTCCCAAGAACTGGGATTTCAGGTGTATGCCACCACGGCCAGTCTCAGTTGCCGCTTCATGGGCCGGGCAGCACAGCAGGCCAGGGGTTGAACTCCCAGACCCCTGCGTCTGACTAAGCAGGCACTTTAATCTACTGAGCTATTTGGCCTGCCCTATATATAATATTTTAAAATAATGTAATAAAAAACAATATTATAAATTACCAATAGTGGTACATTATGATATAGCTATATTATATCCTATTGAATATATTTCTTGCATATGTACACATTGTATGCTGTTCCAACACCAAAAAATAAAGAATAGTTTAAAGGATTGAGGAGTAGGTTCATGGTAGAGCACTTGATCAGTATGGGGAAGCCTCTGGGTTCCAGCCAGAGCGCTTTGGGGAAAAGTATATTGCTTACGAAGCATTTCTAGTTATATTGAATATGTTCCTGCTGTGTTGCTATTTACACATAAGGATGTAGAAATACCTTCATGTGAGCTCAACAACGTAAAACTGTATCATGGATGAGACGGAAACTGTTAGGCTGAGAGCTTCCTGGTGACATTTACTGACACAAGTCACCATGGGCAGTTTATTTTGTGAACTTAAATTTCCTTATCTGCAAAATAAGGATAGTATTTGTTTTGTCAAACTGTTACAAATGTTTAATAATCCATTAAGATGACCAGTACGTGAGCTGCCCACTGTTTATTCTGAGCGCGAGCCTCAGCTCGGAGGTTGCATTCTTACTGACTCCTGCGCTTGAGCTCATCACACGGTCACATGGCAGTACCTCCTACTGATTTCTAAATATGTTCTGTCCTCAAAACTTTTTCTTCTGCTCCACTTTCCCTGTCAAATATGCCTAGTGATCCCACTATTATGTATATATCTAACTGTGAAGACAGGTGTACACATGCACAAACAAGTATAAATATTCGCAGGTGCTTATTTGTAAAGCAAAAGTGCAAACAATGCAAATGTCCACCCAGGGACTGCAGGATGAATGGGAAGTGATAGAGCCATGCGGTGGCGTATAAAAGGAATGGAAGCTGCATGTGGCCTCCCCACTGTAGGAATCTGGGATAGGAGGGTCACAATGTCTAGCTCTACTTGGGCAATATGATGTCTCAAAATAAAGAAAATAAAGAGCGGGGGATATAGCTCAGGGTGAAGGCCCTAGATTCAATCTCCCAATACTGCCAAAACACACACACACACACACACACACACACACACACACACACACACAGTACTAACAGTCCTAACAGTCCTACAACATAAATGAACCTTGACAATAGAATTCAAAGTGAAAAAAAAAAAAAAAAAAACCAGTTGCAAAGGACCACATATTACACAAATCTTGTAACTATATGAAATGTCTATATAAAATGTCCAGAGTAAGAAATTTTATAAAGATAGGAAACAGATTGTTGCCTGGATCTGGGATTGGTTAAAATTGATCGCAATGATGAACCTCTACATATGCAAGGGGCCGGGGAAATGGCTCAGTAGGGACCAGGGAGATGGCTCAGTAGAATAAGCACTTCCCTGGCAAGTGCAAGTGCCTGAGTTCAATCCCCAGTTCCGAAAAAAAAAAAAAAAAAAAAAAAAATGCAAAAGCCTTTAAGTTATGTGATTTAAATGGGTAAATTATGTAGTATAAAACATTTGTCTCACAAAATCTTCCGGCCACAGTGCTTGAGTAAGCACGCCCACTGAGACACACTGCTGTGCAAGCAGCCTCCCATACCTGCCCACCATACCTGCCCACAACACCATGCATGGCCTGATGGTAGTGGGGCAGGAGGCAGAGCTGCTCAGGCTGTCTTCGCAGCTGTGGACCTGTCAGGCTTTCCAGTGATATTAGGTAAGTTGGGGAGGGAGGAGGGAAGCCAGTGCCTGCTCTAGTCCTAGTAGGACCCCAGCCAGTTCTCCATGGGTTCAGCCCTGTCCCAGGCTACAAGGTGAGTTGCAGGCAGCTGGAGTTTGGAGAGATGGTACAAATGGACTCCTTCTCCTCCTCCTCCTCCCCCAGGTCAGGACCCAAGCTAATCAGTCCTCCTGCAGTCTGTCTGGACATCACTGGCTTTTAGAAGAAACGGGGCAAATTGAGCTATCAGGCCTAAGCTGTCACAAACTTGGACACTCATTCTGCACATGGGGTTTTGTTTTTATTTGGGTTGTTTTTTTTTTTTTTTTTTTTTTCCATTGAGACAGAGGCTCACTATGATAGGCAGGCTGGTCTTGAACTCATGGCAGTCCTCCTGCCTTAGCCTCCCGAGTCCTGGCATTACAGGCCTGTGCTACTATGCCCAGCTTCAGCACAGGTTTATGGATCACCCCATAGTCCCAGGCTCAGGGTCAGATCTGAGGTCCTAGGAGTTTCCCTTGAGCTCCTCACCATGGAGGAGATCTCTTTGTCTCCAACAGCTATAGCTCAACACAGCACCACAGACTCCAGAGGGAAGGCAAAGGCCCTGGAGAGAAGCAGGGAAGAATCAGGGAAGACTTCCTGGAGGAGGTGATGTGTGAAATCACAAGGGGATTTGGAGTTAGGTGTTAGACAACTGAAGTTAGGTGTGGGGCAAAGCAGATGACGCTTCAGAGGCTTGATCAAGGGAGACTGTCTAGAGTGACACTTCACCAGTTAGGAGCTTGGTATCTGGCTCCATTGCTCTGGGATGCCAGGCTGGAGGGAGGACGCTGTGGAGGCTCTTCTGGGTGGCCCTGATCTAGCTCCTCCAGGTAGCCAGATGTGTGTGTCCCTGTGCACAGAGATGCCCCTTCTCTCTCTCCCTGCTGTGCGCAGAGCAGAAGTGTGTGAGTGCATGTGTACAAGCACACGCACATGTACACAGCCCTGTTTGCGGGCACAGAATGTGAACTAGAGAAGTAGCCTCTGCTGTACCATTATGGTATCTGGTGACAGAATGAGTGTGCCTGGAATCGCAAATGTCTCAGGGACTGGCTGTACCCAGGGGTGGCAGCCTAAGCAGGTGAGACCTGAGGTCAGAGGTTTTGGGACAGGCCCGGGGTCAGAGACTTCCACAGCAGCCTGGCCTGCCAAGGATGGCTCTTTCCAGACCTCAGCCTTTCCCTCCCTCCTCTGGAGTCCTGCTAGGAACCTTCCACCCCCACCCCAGCCTGGAGAGCCAGCAGCACCAAGTCCACCACTGAGGATGGACACAGAGAGAACAGGCAGGTCCAGGCCCAGCACCACAATTGACAGTGAATAAACTTAAAGTCCTTCTTGTCCTGACTCAGCTTCTGGGCCAAAGTGAGGACAGAAAGGGTCCTTGCCCAGCTCTGCCTTTGTGGTCACAGAGGGGTGAAGCATGCCCCAAGGGAGGTCCCAGTCTTCCTGCAGAGTGCTGAACGACTGCCTCTCTGCACTCCATAGGTACAAGAAAATGTTCCAGCCATTCTCATCTCCTCAGTCCCCACTCTTGTTCCTCTCTACTCCTTTCTTTCCCTAGCTGCTTTCCCCCAAGGCATCACCTAGATTAGGCTACCAAGGGAGCACCAGCAACCAGTTCCCTCTCCCCAACCTTCCCATTGCCCTAAAGTAACCTTGATTATACTGATGTCACCCTTGCTTTGCCCTAACAAGGCACCGAGCCAGCTGTAGCAAGGCCACATAGTCCAGGGGGCAGCTGGCTGTGGCCCATGCCATGCTGCCCCAGAGCATTTCCCAGCCTGGAGCCTGCGTCACCCTCATCCCATCCTAGGTGCCAAGGTATCCACC